AGCATGAGGAATGATCCACAAGGCCACCCGGCAACCCATATGAGGTTTTCAAACCTGGATCCTTGGCATGAAGAATGATCCACAAGGCCACCCAGCAACCCATACGAGGTCATCAAACCTGGATCTTTAGCATGAGGAATGATCCACAAGGCCACCCGGCAACCCATATGAGGTTTACAAACCTGGATCCTTGGCATGAAAAATGATCCACAAGGCCACCCTGCGACCCATATGAGGTTTTCAAACCTGGATCCTTGGCATGAAGAATGACCCACAAGGCCACCCAGCAACCCATACGAGGTCATCAAACCTGGATCTTTGGCATGAGGAATGATCCACAAGGCCACCTGGCAACCCATATGAGGTTTACAAACCTGGATCTTTGGCATGAGGAATGATCCACAAGGCCACCCGGCAACCCATATGAGGTTTTCAAACCTGGATCTTTGGCATGAAGAATGATCCACAAGGCCACCCTGCAACCCATATGAGGTTTTCAAACCTGGATCTTTGGCATGAAGAATGATCCACAAGGCCACCTGGCAACCCATATCATGTTATCAAACCTAGATCTCTTGCAAGAAGAATGACCACTTTAAACATAAGGCCACCTAACCACACCAAGACGACTGGGCAATATTGTTAATCTGGTGCTATGGTAATGAACTTGTGGCACTGTGGAGCAGCAATGTGACAAGTTTGGGGTTAAGATTATCACTTCCCTAAACTGTGTACTAAAGTAGCTTTCCTGAATATGGAATCACACATTTACAAATGTCTGGAGCAGGGAATCATGAAGCAGGATGAACAATGACTGGTTCAACTACTACCAGTGTAATCAGTCTATAATTCAGATACTGCATTGGGAACTGTTTAATGACCACCCGACGTCAGCCTTATCCTCTGTCATATTAGCTTTAATAAAAGTAATCTGGGACTAGCTCTACTACAGATGGGATAAGAAGGAGAGCGTTGATTACTGCTAAAAGGTTTAAAGATTTTAAGTAGCACAATTCATTTAAGAATAACTTGTTTCAACCCAAAACAAAAATCTGTACAACAGGCAAATCAGTTTTAAAATATGGGATGTTGACATAACAAGTTTTCCTCAATCATTGAGTCTAATAGGACATAGTATATCATTTCAAACTTGGATACTTAAACAATCCAACACATGATGTGCCAAGAAAGCATACCATTAAAATTATATGGATCACAGGTGTAATACGATGGCCAGTCATCTCCATATGAAATTTTGTTCAGATACCAACATGCAGACAATATAGTGTTGTATCCCAAGGTAGTGACATTAGCCATGCTGCCAGGCCAGTCCTGGTGCTTCCATATCCCAACTACAGTGTCAGGTTGTACCTACAGAACAAATATTCCAGCATCAGGTATTCAATCAATATAGACCTTGACCACTCATTTAAAGCAGGAAAATGCTGTCTCTAAATAGGCACGGAAGTGTCAGTCAAATACAGAAAGTTGTTGAATAGCACAACCTGGAAGCTGAAGAAGCACCAGTGCCCTCCCCAGCCCTCCCATGTACTGTGTGCATACGCAATCAAGACAAAGAAGAAGGATTATTTGTTAAAAATAATATAAATGAGTAGTGGTTAGTATTGTAATGATAAATTGTGTGGAAGTGAAATACATGTTGTAATGATAATGTTTTGTTGCATAACTGTTTTGTCAAACTGAAAGCTAATAGCTACAAGCAAAACAAGATCCATCAAGAGTTAATATTTCCAAACAGTCTTGTGAAATTTGGAAATGGTGTTCGGCTATGTACACCACTTTTGGGTCATTGCCTTTGGATTCTATGAGTTAAGTGAAGAAATATATAGGTAATGTGCTCAGCATGGTGATGTTCATCAAGAAATACTTAACAGTTCTGGAGTCATACTAGTGAAATGAGTATGTCTTGTCATATTGAAAAATGAAACATATAAAATCAAAATAGGCACTATTTTTAAAGTGGTGGCATAAAATGGGCCAAGATGCCAAAATTGAGACAAGACAAACCAATGATTGATCATTGATGGCAACAGGACAATCAGCCAAGTACCATACAGAAATGATGCACTATATTAGACGGCTATTTGAACACACATGGTGTCCTAGTTATTTATTTGTCCAAAAAGGAAAAGAACAAAGTGGTCAGTGCTCAACTACATTGATCCTGCTTTCTTACATACTGACATAACTATTAAGAAAAACATACTGATTATGGAAACCATTACATATTACTCTATATCTGATTTTTATGACAGGCAAATAGAAAGGGTAAAAATATCTGTATCATACATGTCCTTCTTAAACAAATTGAATTTTCACTGATAAGCAGTTCATACTGCATCAATGTATAGACCTTGTAAAGAGTTGTTTCTGCCAGCATAATACCTACGCTTGTGGGTTCCACAAAAGTGGAAACCGGATGACACCTGAATCCCTCCAGGCTTTCCTTCCACATCAATATGTGACTGATTGTGATACACATCGAATGCTGTTCAAGGAGCTCACAAATGACCCACATTCATATCTTTCAGTGTATGAAATAAGCCCCAAACCTGGCCAGACATCAGGGCTGGTAACTTCAAAATGTTACCTGCCCAAAATGGATTTAACCAGACCAGAAAATGTGCAGAACACTTGTATGAAACATGTCATCTAAATTTTTTACCAGACCATCCGGCTGGCTAGCTGTAAATATTTAGAACGTCTGTCAGAAATCTGGCCCATCACGGGCTGTTGGACAGGCCTTATTTCACCAACTGTACCTATCAGTTTAAGTTGGTAAATGGCATTAGTACCACTTTCTCCCTGATGATAAATTAACTTCCTTCAAATTTAAGAATTAAATCTGGTGTGTGTTAATGTATTGTACACTGTTATATATGCAGTGCTGGTGAAGGAACTATGCAGACATGCAACCAATGATGGCATACCATCAAAGTCCAAGGGGTCGCACTGGTAGTAACCCTGCCAGTCCTGCCCATAATGGATACTACTGAGATACCAGCAGGTGGATAGCAGAGTCTTGTAGCCCATCCTGGTGACTTTCGACATCTCTTGCTCCCATGGCTTCTTCCACACCTCTACAACAGTGTCCGGTTGCACCTGTGGAGTGCAGAACATTTGGTGAATGTTCTGACATAAAAACATGACTGGGTTGTCACTTCCACAAACAGCCTTCAACTTCAAAGGATACCTCCACTGGTCGCTCCTGCTGAGTGTAGAAACCGCTGGAGAATGTTCTGACATAAAACCTAAATGGGTTGTCATCTCAACAAACAACAGCCTTCAACTCCAAAGGACACCTCTACTATGGTGTCTGGTTTCACCTCTGGAGATTAGACACCATTGGGGAATGTTCTGATATAAATGTGAATGGGTTGTCATCTTCACAAACAACAGCCTTCACTTTCAAAGGACACCTCTACCATAGTGTTTGGAAGCACCTCTGGAGATTAAACACCATTGGGGGATGGTGACATAAAAATGTGAATGGGTTGTTATTTCCATGAACAACAGCCTTCATCTTCAAAGGACACCTCTACCATAGTGTCTGGTTGCACCTCTGGAGATTTATCACCATTGGGGGAATGTTCTGATATAAAAATGTGAATGGGTTGTCATCTTCACAAACAACAGCCTTCACCTACAAAGGACACCTCTATAATAGTGTCCAGTGGAATGTAGACCCCATTGGAAGCATATTCTGACCAGATGTAAATGGGTTGTCACCCCAACAACCCTTCAGCTACAAAGAACCTCTACACTAGCGTAGACACCATTCGGGGAATATTCTGACAGATGTAAATGGGTTGTCATCCCTACAACCCTTCAGCTACAAAGAACCTCTACACTAGAGTAGACACTATTCGGGGAATATTCTGACAGATGTAAATGGGTTGTCACCCCTACAACCCTTCAGCTACAAAGAACCTCTACACTAGTGTAGACACTATTCGGGGAATATTCTGACAGATGTAAATGGGTTGTCATCCCTACAACCCTTCAGCCACAAAGGACACCTCTACACTAGTGTAGACACCATTCGGGGAATATTCTGACATACTCTTACAAATGTGTCGTCTTTACAGAATGTACATAACGTAGCTCCAAATGTGTGAACATGCAAGTGTTTGAGAAGAGCAAGCAACTCATCCTTCAAGCATTGGAATACAGAACATACAGAACTTGAACCAATCCAGAACACTGTACAGACAGATTTCAAGGTGGATTGGCTGTAATGTGAATGTCTGGTCAGCTCCAGGTGCAGTTGGCTGGGCATGATTGCTTCAGGTTCCATGTGAGTGTCTCTGTTCACTCTCTGCCAAGTCCGTTATTTTATTACACCGGTAAGTTTTGCATGACATCAGTAATAGATGACCTCACAGAACAACTTAAAGGTTCAAAACGGTGGAGGGATAATCATGACTATCAAAAGTCAGTCAGATCTTAGTGCTGCAAATAACGTAAGTGCCTAACAGAGAATGGCAGTCCTGATATTCTTAGTCCTACAACTACACAGATGAGTCATAACGTGTTGGATAATGGACATTCTTAGTTTGATGCCTAACATAAGTCGGTCAATGAGTGTGGGAGTTACGACCTCTTAGCACTACAACCATCACAAGTGATCCAAGGGATAAGGGAATGAAGACAGTCTTTGTGCAAGGAGCAGCGTAAGTCATTGTTAAGAAAATGTTAGTAACGACAGCCAAAGGGCTAAACTTCCTCCACGGAGCAAGGCCCTTCAATTTCTTTCAGCTCCTCACACAATGAAGACACAAATATATTTGAGGATTACCCTGTCACAATTTGGCTACAATTCATGAACATTTTAGTATTTTAGGATGGGGTTTCTTCAGCGTTTAAAAGACATGTTCAATCTCATACAGTACTCTGATTTAGTCATTCCATTGCTTCAAGCATCAGACAAATGCTATGACACGTACAAATTCAGAGAGTAATTTTCTTAACAATCCTACCATCAAAGTTAAATGGATCGCATGCGTAGTACTTTGCCCAGTCTGAGCCATAGCTGATGTAGTTGAGATACCAGCAAGTGGAAAGAAGAGTCTTGTAGCCCAGCTTGGTCACTTTAGCCATCTCTGCTGGCCATGGGTCCTTCCACACTTCAACAACGGTGTCTGGTTGCACCTTTATTTGGGTACATGTGATATAGAATTACCTTCAAGTATTACCATGATTACCTCTTTAACACCTTGGCAACAGTGTCTGGTTACACCTTTACAGGGGTACATGTGATACAGAATTACCTTCAAGTATTACCATGGTTACCTGTCTTACATCCTGGCAACAGTGTCTGGTTGCACCTTTACAGGGGTGCATATGATACAGAATTACCTTCAAGTATTACCATGGTTACCTTTCTTACATCCTGGCAACAGTGTCTGGTTGCACCTTTACAGGGGTGCATGTGATATAGAATTACCTTCAAGTATTACCATGGTTACCTGTCTTACATCCTGGCAACAGTGTCTGGTTGCACCTTTACAGGGGTGCATGTGATACAGAATTACCTTCAAGTATTACCATGGTTACCTGTCTTACATCCTGGTAACAGTGTCTGGTTGCACCTTTACAGGGGTGCATGTGATACAGAATTACCTTCAAGTATTACCATGGTTACCTGTCTTACATCCTGGTAACAGTGTCTGGTTGCACCTTTACAGGGGTGCATGTGATACAGGATTACCTTCAAGTATTACTATGGTTACCTGTCTTACATCCTGGCAACAGTGTCTGGTTGCACCTTTACAGGGGTGCATGTGATACAGAATTACCTTCAAGTATTACCATGGTTACCTTTTTAACTCCTTGGCAACACTGGTTTATATGGGTACATGTGATTCAGAATTACCTTTCAAGTATTACCATGGTTACCTTTTTAACACCTTGGCAACAGTGGCCTGTTGCAGCTTTTGAAATTAGTATTGACACATACTTTTACTGTTTCCATGGTTACATGTCAGCAAATCTCACACCATGACAACAATGTCTGAACAATACCATAAACGAAGCCAAGGCACAAGAATTCCATTCAGTCCAAAACAGAAGCCCAGACAGAAACAAGAATTGTAGCTCATTATCTTTCCTTGGGCTTAATAGGGTTGAAACAATACACATAAAGGTCACAAAGCAATATGAAGCACAAAAATGTGTTCATGACATATTACTTCAGAACAAGTACATGCTAATGTATTAAAAACTTGATGTAACAAAGGTAAACTTCACACTTTTATGATGACTGTAAGGGCTTGATTTTGTGCTTTTTTACTTGCACTGGCCCAACCCAATATTACAAAGTGCAACCCAGTAATATTAGACTAACCTGCACCAGGTGTAAGTTAATTTTTGAGTGGGTAAACTTCTGAATAAATGATTTAGCATATTTCTTTCATTACATATTGCAATAAAAGCAGTGCAACTGGAATTAGGCTGGTGCAACTACCGTATATGACCGTCTATAAGCCGAATTTTGAGGACCAAAAAAAGCAGTCTGTAGAAGGGGGTCGTCTTATCCATGAGTTACACTTTCGTCAAACTTTTTTCCAGGGGTAAGAAAACAACATCGTATCACTTTGCGTGAACAAACAACAGAAGACAACTTTGTCAGTAGAGACGTCAAATTTGCAATTAAACATCACTCGACAAGATTAATTACCATTTAAGTTATAAGTTGTTTTTGCTGGGCATTGTTTTATTTGCAGGGATTAAGATTACCGTGCGTATTTGTCTCGTACACAAAGCCGGAAATAGCAATCAGCTGTGCACACGTTTCCTAGCATTGTGTAATAGTTTTTATGTAAAAAATATATAATCAACACTAAGGTTATACGGACCATCATGAACGTGGTAAGCACGTGACATGGAACGAGGCGGTAATCAGTTTGATTGTTGAATGGGGTAAAATAAGCAAGCCAGTTTGTTGCTACAATAAATATGATATTTAGAGAAGCAAAATATATTATGCATTTTCTGTCAACTACACTTCGTTTCGATCCGTGAGTAGACACAATATATATGACAGTGAATTTATTTGAATAATGTGGATCGACTTACAGTATGAGGAGGACAGTGACACGGAATTTGATGGGTTTACGGACGATGACTTGTGAAAATCTCAGAACTCTCTTGCAGAAATGTCAGTGTTTATTGTTAGTGGACTATTTTTCTTATTGTCATATATATATAGATGAAATATGGACACTTAAATAATATATTTTGAAACAAAAGTTGACTTCAGTTTTTATTTACCGATGGTACTTTTTCTCTCCATACTCACCGATTTCACAAAATGGCGTCTCGTTGTTGATGCAAGCAGTGATCGTCGGGATATAAAAGGAACACAAACAGATGTTGCCACAATACACGGTAATCTTTATTATGTAATATTCTCACCAACACTTAACGCTGTATATCAACTTTCCAAATGGCGTCTCGTTGTTGATGCAAGCGGTGATCGTTAAAAAGGTAAACAAACACCGGTAATCTTTATTATGTAATATTCTCGTAATGGTGTCTCGTCGTTGATGGAACATACTAACCGGGTAATCTGGTCTCTGTTGGCGCGACCCATCGCTGGGGGTCGGCCTATCCATGAGAGATATGATTTTGACAAGTTTGTCGGCTTATCCATGGGGTCATAGACGGTTTATACGGTAGGGGTAATACAAAGATATGATTAAGCTGAATATTGTCATCTAGGTTATTTTTGAGGTAATACAAAGATATGATTAAACTGAATATTGTCATCTAGGTTATTTTTGAGGTAATACAAAGATATGATTAAGCTGAATATTGTCATCTAGGTTATTTTTGAGGTAATACAAAGATATGATTAAGCTGAATATTGTCATCTAGGTTATTTTTGAGGTAATACAAAGATATGATTAAACTGAATATTGTCATCTGACATGGTTTGAGTGATATGATGCAATAAAGTGACCATATAGATCATATCGCTGAGCGTCATCTATTCTGTCTCATAGTCCCCGAAACATATGATTGTCACTTCTGCCCTACCCTTGCTGCAATGCAAAATCTTTAAATGAAGCATGTCTAGATTTCCTCATGAGCTCAGTTGGACTAGTTTTCAGATAAAAAGGAGTTATTTGTTTTATCACAGCAAGGGACACCAGAAATGGCCTTCAGACACTGTACCCACATAGTAACATTACAGTTACAATAGTAACTTTACCTTGGACTGAACTTGTAAGGAAATTAATGAATGTGTATACACTCCTTATAGTACTGCACACATAGCTTTGGAATCTCCCCTTTCTTTAACTCTCAACAGTCATTTCAGTTATCAACATTAATTGTAGAACCATGAAGTAAAATACTGGTAATTTCTAAAAGTTCCAAAGAAAAGGTGGCACTCACTTTGGCACCATTGTCGATGACCTCCTGCCAGACCTGATAACCCTTGCCAAGACCACTGATGATATTCAGCAGCCTGAAAGAGAGGGAGAGAGATGGAATGAGTGGGGACTGGCAACCCTTTTAGCAATATATCAGCCATTGTAAGTCTTCAAAAACCCATACTTGCCTTCATAGCCATGTGTGGAATTGAATCATGCTTTTCAGGCAAACTGGTTGTGTGAGTTTAAAAGGTCACATAAACCCTAGGGGTAAAATACATAAATCACTAACTCGCATCGTTATAAATGAAACCCGTCATTAAAACTACTCATTTCGACCTTTAATTGACTTAAATCGACCTTTTTGACAACAGTGCACAATTCTCACCCGCGAACGAAATTTCAACCAATCAGAGCGGCGCGACTCTGTGGACGTCATATGAGGAATAGCTTGGAGGGCCTGTGCAGAATTCATCTACATTTTAGGGTTAAATTATCTTGTTTACAGGCTTGTATAAACCTGAAATCGTGACAATTGTTGTGGAAAATGAAAGCTATATGTTCTCACAATCTACTGTCATTTAATTTTGTCTCATGCTTTGCCTAGTTTCCGAGTTACAACTTGTTTTCATAGACGATTCTGTCAAAATCGATTGGTGTCGTTAGGCCCTATTTGTATAATGACTGATCCAAATTGATCCCATTTCTGTGTTTTTTACCTCGATATTTAATCATGTCATGTAAAAATCTGTTTGTATTCTCAAAACAGTGTCGGCCCATAAGTTTTCACATGCAATACAGCAATTAATACTCCCTTGTTGTAACCCGTGTTAGGTGGTATAAACCTACACATGTTATTTGTCATCATTCACTTGATGGTCAGTTAATGAATTTATAACAGGTATAATTAGTGGTAACACACTTAAATTACCCGACAAAGGTTCCCATTTGGCATTTCTTGTGTCTGGAGTAAATATTCAACATTATAAACATCGATCAAAGGATTAACCGATAACACGCTGATTGATTAATTACTTTTATCTTACACAGCGGAATTGTCAAAGGTAGTGTTTATGTATGTAGATTTACTAATCTATACTGAATACACTCTGTCGTGTCGGTGTCTGCGTAAAACAACGTCCTTCTTTCAAAGGATTAACCGGCAATACATTGATTGATTGCCCATTATTGGCTAACTAAATTACTGTTTTTTAAAGAAAGGCGGACATTATGCAATTGGTTGCCAGGTGTGCTATCTTGGGTGACCAATGAGACTATACACCAATACCTGAAAAGATTTATCACTTTTTCGTATATTAAACTGTTAAAAGACACATCATTTGGAACAGTTTTGTGGATATTGATGGATACATTCCTCGAACAAGGTAATGGCCTGATATTGTTCCTATAACTTTAATCTGTTTTAATTTTAATATTTGCATTTTGTTTTATTCATTTGTCGTAGCATTCAACAGAATCATTGTTTTCACCGTGAAGTGTAATGAGACAGACAACATGCACTAGGGTGTGTGTGCGAATTATGATTCACATTGGCAAACTATAAAATGTCTAGATATTACAGTTCTGTTATAAATTCACTATAAGTATCAGCAGATCGTCTGCTTTTTATTTAGTTTCAAAATGCATACAAGTATGATAATAAACTAATTAGGATTATAAGACCAAATATAAAGGCGCACATTGACTAGTATCTACATACTGGTGAGTGGACATTAACCATGGGAATGTAGCAAAGAAATTTATCGCGCAGTATTGTGACTTCGACCCCACCACAAGCTTCCGTGGAAGAAATCGTTATGTTATAAGTTGTGTCATGCAAAATCCGTTTGGTTATGATTCAATACATATTTAACTCTGAGTAGAAAGTAGTCTTGATTTTCTAACTTGTGAAAACAAACTATAATCTCATTAATTCTAACAGATTTTTTATTTTTAAAAATGGCGGCCCTGTCGGGAACATCCGCCAGTCTGAGGATAAATGGTATTTAGGTTTGTTTCCACCGAGTTACAAAATCAAAACTACTTTCTACTGGTAATAAAATATGTATTTTATTGATAGCCAATAGGATTTTGCATGACATAAGCGTATAACATAACAATTTCTCGTGGCAGCGAGGTGGAATGTCAATATAATACTACTTACAATATTATTGTTAGCCGACCACAACCTCACTTCCGAGGAAGAAATCGTTATGTTACAAGTTGTGTCATAGAAAATCTTTATGGTCATCAATCATATGCATATTTTACTACAACTAGTAAGTAGTTTTGATTCTTTAACTTCCGTGAAGCGATCTGAACACAAGTAAGATATCGTTTCAGGCTTCCACAACGCTCGCTTCGCACTCACAAACATAACCCATTTGCTTACGAACTGCGGGGTCCTGTGGAAATCTGTGCATGGGGACACCATCGCCCGACCCTAGGAGCAATTGGCGACAAAGCAGCGATTCGGCATGTCGTCGTTGATGTCGAGAAATCATCAAAATGATGAAGCGTGCTACACATTTTCTATACAACTAACTGAAAATCGTTCCTCATATGACGTCACTGCAGTGCTCTGGCGACAGAGTTATGTAACCTGTCTGTGGTTTCGTTGGCGGGCGAGAGGGAAGCAGGCGACTTTTTGGCAACTTTTAATCGCTCGGTATTAAATAACCTCAAGTTTTTAAAGAATAAATTTGGTGTTCCGCATAAGACTAACCACAAATCTTTCATATGTAATGGTTAAAAGAGTGACAAAAAACAAAGTTTAGTGGTTCTTTAACAATAAATGAAGAATCTTTTTCTGTAAAGTCATATAAACTGCAATTTAATAAAAGGAATACCCAGGGATGAATTAGGAATATCCTATTTACAATACAAATGGCAGACACTCATGAATGAATACATACATTGTAAATGTTTTTGAACTAGTCTTTCCTTGACTCACTTTTGCATGTAGTATTGCTCCACCTGGCCATAGTTGGTGTAGTGCATCTTTGTGACAAAGTCTGTGATGTTGGGGTTGCTCATCCTGAAAAAGAAATGGTAACCATGGTAATTGCCTTAGGATTCACAATACATGGCAGTTATATTACACTCGCGTAACCTTGATTCGTGGATATAAGGGAAATGCAGCGAAATTCATACTTTAAATGCATGCTTTCATTTTGTATACGCACTGATTATTTAATTCATTATATTCAGCAAATTGAAAATGCCTAATTTTCAACTCGTGAATGAAAGGCTTGTTTACGGAAGCCATTTGCAATCATCACCCATTCGTGTACCCACAAAATGTGACGTCACCTTGTTTCGTGGATTACGAGCTAACAGTATCCTTTTCACTTGACATTTTGTAAAAATAAAATTTGGTAATGATGGTATTAGTTATTTGGGGCTATTTATCTCAATGCTGGACAATTACATTTAGTGTACTTGCGTGTAATGCAGAGATTCGGAACTTTTTGGTCAGCGAGGAGTGGCATTGTATGTACATCAAAAGTACTGCTTCGTGACGTCAGTCGAGACTTAATATACGAGCTAGCTTGATCATTTTTGCGATCCACGAATTTAGGTTACGCTTCTATATAACAGTTAGGAGCATTGGTAGTGAAACCACCGCAGAGTTTGTTTGTTTACTGCCACACTCAGCAATGTGGTCCAGTGACTAATGTCATGAGCATCATTCTATGCAGTTCTGTTGCGACACATATTTACCAGTTTGCAATCCTGATGATCTAATCCTGTAAACTGCCTCTAATGACAAGCAGGAGTTACTGAAGACAATTCTTTACCTGGTGCTTGACAGGTGTCAGGGGGTAACCTAAAGTGACTGTCAAATTCTGTTTGCTTGATATCAAACATTTTTCTCATGATGACCTGTCTGTCATCATTATTATAACAATTTTGGATATAATGGAATTTATCTCACCATCTTGAAATGTACTTGCTAACAAAGGTGATTTTATCATTTGGATCCCTACTCAAAAACAAAGATGATCTTATCATTTTGATCTGTACTTACCGCCAGAGAAGACCGCATCATTTTGGAACTCCACTTACCAACAACAGTTACGTCATCATTTTGAACCCTACTTATCATCAAAGGCAACCTTACTTTTTACCTGCTCACCAACAAAGGAAACCGTATCATTTTCTCCGTTACTTAGAATGAAAGCCAATTTATCATTTTGAAAACTACTTACCTTCAATGGCAACTTCATCATTTTGAACCCTACATACCAACAAATGAGATCTCATCATACTTACCAAAATAGAAGACCATATCATTTTAAGGGGACCTCAAAAATTGAATCAAATGTATTATGATATGACCCAATTCTTGAGTCACGTTTACCAGCAAATTAGAGTCCATTCTCTGAACGATACTAACCAACCTACAAACAAGATCCAGTCCTTGAGGTATTACAAGTGAACAGAGACTATTGTTGAGACATGTATTCGAACATATGAAGGAGACCTAATACTGGAGCATGACTTACCAGCATGTAAAGGAGACCTCATCCCCTCCTAAGTGGACGTAATGATCTGGGAAAACCTCTCCCACATCCTGGAAGAATGCCTTAAGGAAAGTGTAGGTGGACTCTGGGAGGGGATTGATGGGTCCAAATGAACCGTCTGGCTTGCCGTGACTGTAACAAGGAGTCAGGAGGTTGGTGATGGCCTTTCCCCATGACTGGCTGTGACCTTCACAAAAGGGAAATAACTCTTTAACACTGCCTTGTTTGCTAAACTAACATAATACACAGAGGACAGAGCTGTCAAATGACCACTGATTAACTGATAGCAGTAACTATCAAAACAACATAAAAACATTTACGGGCCGTGTGAGTGAATATCAGTTTAAGGTTTAGTCAAGAATATTACAACCTTTTGCTTTGCTTTCACTGTAAAGGATATGAGGACAATGAGAAAAACAACCTCTATACATAAATTTATTTACTAACCTGGTGAATCGAACTCTGGCATTACTCGGATTCCTCTGAGCCGAGCATAGTTAGTGATTTCTCTGATGTCAGCTCGAGTATACACGTGGGTGACAGGGTTGTAAGCTCCCTTAAACACACAGGAAGACCAACTTAACCAGTGGTTGATAGACTGAGTAACAATGTGATATGATGAGACAAAATCAACCATGTGCCACACTATTCTCATACAAGATGAATTTTGTGCAAGAATCCCTCAGGTGAGACAGTGAAAGGATTGGAACTTTAATGAAAGCATTACAAGAAATCAAGGTCTTAGAATGTGGAATAGGGGTCTCTAAGTTCGGCAGATTATTTAGAACTACCTTCCTTTGTAAACATTGTCAGTTTCTGTGTTCACATGCTGAAAAATGTCTCCAAGGATACAGGTACGATTTCTGAGTTCTTTATGTCACCATATGAAGATACAAAATCACAAGTGATACAGGTTGTAGATACTTAGTATTTTGATAAAACAGATACATGTTGCACATACTGCATACATTAGCCATGGCTAAGGTATGACATTAGACATTACAATATGCATGGCAAGGATCTTCAAACCAAATTGGTTGTGACATTAAAGACATGTTCTATATGTCATCTGCATCATGAGAATAATGACAGCTACCCTCTTCTTAATTTTGCTAACAACTATAGGAGGGAATATATGTTACCTTGTTACTCATTTCTGGAAAGGCAGCACTCTCAAAGGGGAAGGATTGGTCATCAACTATATGCCAGTGGAACACATTGAACTTGTTCTGGGACATGGCATCCTGGAAGCATCACAAGGTTGTTTGTACATTGTCCACTGTAATGTTCATATACTCCAAGAAAATGTTTAAAACATCACAAGTCTATGGGAATTCTCACATTGTTTGATAGGCATTTCTTTGACTTTGATGGATGACAAAGTAGACATTTCTTGAAAGACAAATACAAAAACAATGTTGTTCCTGTACATTTTATAAGTTGTCATCCATATGTTGTTTCTACTTTGTGAATACTAGGTTATATTAACTTATCATTTACTTGTAATTGGCAAGTGAAGACACATGGCATGGTCATGCTGTCAGGTGAAAGCATGTCTTCATAAAACAGCACACCAAGTACAACTCTAATCATCCCCACAATGATGTATCATGGGCACATGAATCGTGAACCTTTGAAGAGAGGTGAAGTGGTCCATGTTTCTACTGGCTAAGAAGTTGTGCCTGTTTCAAAGTGCCATCCCACTAAGATAACATGCCACTGTGTAACATGTATGCCCCACAAAGACACAGTCTAGTGATTAGCCATTTAAACTTACTTTTTCCCTTAATAATAAGTCAGGCAGGGCAGCAACAAGTGCCATCTTGTAATGTTTTCAAGTATAACATGGTCAGAGGATCAACCCACAAACCTTCTGCTCTACAAGCAGAAACTCTATCCAAGTTTTTGTTTGTGTTTAAAGCTGCACTCAGCAATATTCCATCTACATGGTGACAGTCTGAAAATAATCGAATCTGGACCAGACAATCCAGTGATCAATAGCATGAACATTGTACTACGCAGTTGTGATACGATAACATGTCAAACAAGTCAACCACCTCATCCCGCTAGTTGCCTCTTACGACAAGCATGGGTTGCTGAAGACCAATTTTAACCTGGATCTTCACTTGTTCTCAATCCTCCAGACTATGCAGGTAGTAAATAACCTTTAAAGTATAGATAGATGCACTACATAAAAATGCAAAAATCTATCAGCATTTGTTTTCACTGCCAATCTCAATTATAGGTTCATCCCAAGGACTTTGACGGAGTTTGAGTTGAGAAAATCCTGCTGTACTTAAATTAATACATTGAAACCAACAGCCATGGAAAAGCCAATAATATCTGAAGAGAAAATTCTTGCATCTCAACATTTCACAACGACTGACCAGGTTTTGGAGGATCGTGCTGACTGACAGATAGTGGCGAGAAGTGTCCAGCAATATACCACGATGCTTGAATCTTGGGGCATCAGTAATCATTGACTCCATCACCACAAACTGTAAAAGAAACATTTCTTTTGATATGATCATTACATTTGTTATGATCATTTTATTTGACATGTACCACATTGACATGTACCAATAGCTATTACTAGTTATAGGTATATTTGAATATTCATACAAGATTACCACATTTGACATGTACATTTGACATTTGAATATTCATACAATAGCTATTACTAGTTATACTAGTTACATGTATATTTGAATATTCATACAAGATAACCACATTTGACATTACTTCCATAAATTCAAAACAAAATTTATCTGTTGTTCCCAAAAGCTTTCTGAAAACATTTACCTCTCCGGAACTTTGTTGAGTAACCAGCTGGCTGAAAGTCTCGAGGCCCCTTAGTGCTCCCCACACCTCATTGGCTTTTAGACTGGCGCCAGCAGACGTGATTTGGAGGTTATCTGTTTAAAACACATTTTAAAGCCATAAGTTTCCAGTACTGGAAAAATAATATTAGTTGTATGCTTCTCTTGAGGGTAATACAGTCTGATGTACGCCTCTTTGTAGCAGTGTGTTTATAGAAACATAACTTTATTCAGAATATTATCTGTAACACTACTTTCCAGAGACTACCTTATAAGTAATATTTATTACCATTCAAAATGATGTGCTGATGTATTGTTTCAGAATAGACAAATGTTAGAAGAGCTTACATACATATAACTTCAGATCAAATGCTTCTTCAATCAGCACTGTCATGACACAGACTGCATATCTTTCACTACGGATGTTAACCATTCATAATTAAGTTGACTATGCATAACAAACATTCATGCTGTTGCTGTATTTTTATTGGTGGTAATCTTGTCCCACCACAATGCCTAGAATTAATGGGTTTTGCAATAGAGGATCTAAGCTCAAAGCACATTTTTAAGGCACTATTGAAATATTACTTTTCCATTCCTGTTTCCAGTTAATATGTTCAAGGATGGTGCAATCTTTCAACACAAGACAAGTGCATAATAATTAATCATCAAAGATGAATTATATCATGACTAAGTAAATATTATTTAAGGAATATGAACAACTGATCAGTGTATTTGAAAAACAAACAGAAACACGTACAAGGCGTCCAACTTTTGATCAGAACGTCCGTGACCAGCGTCACTGAGCATGACTTGTAAATTTTATAGCCGCTTCTACACTATTTCTACCAAAATACCAAAGCTGTGAGATTTCTCACCTGCTACGTCTACAGTCTGCACAGAGACATACCCGAATCGTGATAATACCAATGTTCTTCGTCCATCCCTGGAAACTAGATCTCATACCCAACTGATAATAGTGATAACTCGATCATCTCTGGACAGTGTTTAGTAGACAACTTACACGATTCATCGGATTCCAGTGAAGGATATACTCCTTGGCAGTTTGTGCTGACGCTGACATTCAGGGACGACACCACCCCAGCTCCGACCCCTGGACGTTTGAACCAGTGGTTTTTGTTGGCATAATCCTGGCCGAATGTCAGCGGTAAGTATCTTGTGTACGCCTCACTCAAAATATCGCATGAAACGCCGGTCGTCACAAACATAAAATTTTGCACATCAACTGTAAACAAGGTCGATGACTGCTTTATAGTTTGCGGTAGGGGCCATGGTGCGCCTACAGTTGCAGCAACTGGATCTCGGGTTATTGCTCTTTCTATCGCATTTGCTGGTAAAACCAGCACTACTGAAAAACACAACCAAACCAGTCGAACTGCCATGTTGACTGACTGACGCACGTGACAAGCAAACCATCACATGACATTCATAAGATCACGTGACATTGTCTTTCCGCGTTCGGATATTTCCGGTGTAATCCGTAAACGGTGTTGTAAACTGATGTTATTTCACGTCTCTTTCCAGGTTACGGCAAGGGACGAGTGGTGATCACTGTAATTCCGTTTATATTTTCAGCACAGTTGAAGGTTGCGAATCGAATCATTTCGATTTTCTCACATCTCATGATCGTTTGTATTGTATTGGTCTGGTATTGTATCATCGACAACATGTTTTCACAGAAACAGAGATTTACCCTACCACATGTTTTTATGCTTTCATTTCTTAATGAATCAATAAAAAATATTTTCTCTACTTCTAACTTTGCCTTAGTTTAAAAAAAATAGTTAGAAATAACAAGAGCAAATGCAACTCCATTAATAAGAGAATCGCAAATGTGCCTGTCCCCTTAATTTGGGGATTATCCTCATATTTTGGTTTCCGGCTTCAAAACACTCGTTGTTTGAAAAAACCCATGTCGCTAACTTACTGAGGACAACTTTATTTAAACACAAGTCATTATCCGAGTACAATGTCTGTGAGATGCAAACTGCAAGAGTGAACACAGCCCTCCGGAATTTGTACATGTGACGTCCGAAAACATTCATTATGTATGACGATATAATATACTGTCATGTTCCTGAAAAAGATATGTTTGATATGAATAATGTTAAATAAACGTTAATTTTGATTAGTTGTGGTAATAACAAGACTTAAATACATTCCATGTAAGTCTTTGTTTTAACAATAGAAACTTGACTCTTGTGATTGTTTGATCGGCGTTCTAGAAGTTGGTGAGTCAAAAATGAAACATACAATTTTATGGATGACAACATCTTGTTTATTGCATAGAGCGACGTTTCGATATAGATTCTTACACCGTTATCAAGCTAAAAGCTTGACTTCATAGCCAGCTTAAGTCTGAAATATAATCGATCAAATAGTCTGTCTCTGTACTAATAACTCGATAAACTATTGAGAAACACTGTTTTCGGGGTATCTCACGTCAGGTGATGCACACACAAGGGCAGATAACTGATAACGTTTTCAAAGTCTCTGGATGATAACGGCTGTGCATATTGTGCTGTCTTTGCTAATTTAACTCAATAGCTGAAGCAATGTGTGATATTATATTTGTTGTTATATACGAGTGGACGTCATTTTGGTTGACAAAAGAAAAAGATCACAAAATTAGATTGTACGAAGCAAATAAAGATATGGCCAAAATTATATTCACTAAAATTGATTGATTCAAACATATTTTCCTTTTCAAAGTTATAGCCTGATACCATAGGCGGATCCAGAAATTTTCAAAGGTGTGTGTGTGCGTGCGTGCGGATGTGCGTGTGTGCGTGTGTGTGTGGTTAGGGGTTTGAACCCCCTCTTCGCTCCGCCAATGCAAACCATTAACTTCTATGTGGTCTTTAGTCATTTTCATAGGGTGGGGGGTAGTGGTCGAACCGAACCCCCCTCTGGTTCCGCCAATGGATACAAATACGATTACATTCAAGCAATAATTCGAAACCATCAAACATGATTGGAGTTAATTGTAAAAGCGAGAAAACATTGTGCAAATTTGAAAAGAAATGCACAAGCTTATTTGATATTGGGTTTGATTTCAGAATAAAGATAAAGTCCAAATTTATGCTGTATTTGGAAAACTCACCTGAAAGTTATGTACTGAGAAATAAATGCCCACAGAGTCTGAGACCATAAATATAACAGATTTTATTATCTGTAAACTTTTCCTTGCAAACGCCAGTTTTTGGATTTTTCTACGTAAATAGTAAACATGACAAAATGTTAGTATGAGAATTAAGCGAAATGGGGATTGCGTATAATTTGTACCACATAGAATGACCTGGGTTCGGGTGAGAAGACAAATGGGATCGGGTGGCCAGGCTCGCTGACTTGGTTCATGTATGTTATGGTGTCTCATTTGCTCATATGGCTGCATGCTCATGAATCAATCATTCGGTTTACTCCCAAAAGTTAGACGTCTCAAAAGTCAGACGTCCCAAAAGTCAGACAAATCAATCAGGCGTGACCGTGATTACAACCTAGTCTTACCCACTGATTTAATTAACCTGTCCCATACAGTAACGAGATGTTTTTCACATTTGTAAAGAAATACTTTGATTAGAATGGTAATGTTAATTGGCTTATCTCAATCACTGGGTTCTCCAAATGTGTTTTCACAATGTTCAAACGGCAAATGTATCACTTGCCAAATTCAATAATGCTAACTCTTCTGATCTCAAGCACATTCTAACAAACCCCAAATTAATTAAACCACTCACTAAATATCTTATTCATACAAAATTATACCAAACAATCTAGCAACAAAAACAATAATACAATAATTCCACTTTTACCATTTTAAAAATTGTTCTAAATATGTATATATGTTCTTTTAACTTTTCAAATGAGTTCTCTCTTTTTATCAACGTCATTTTTTAACCTTTTATATGTTTATCATTATTCACTTAATAAACATGTTTTTAAACATGGGTTGGTTGTAGAGCAACATATTAACAAAATACAATCAAATTAAACAGGTTTCTGTCCTCAAACAATAACAATAACCATTTATTACACTACATCTATATTAAATTCCAAATCTCTATTACTCTTTACCTATTTCATATTATTTTCGTTTTTTACCTTAGTTGTGCGTGCGACGCTAAATAAAGCAAATAACTAACTAAGGGTTGAGAACAAACGATGGTCTTCAGAGAGTAGAATAAGTGAAGTCACAGAAGGGTACTCCTCAGGTATTCCTTCAAGGCCACACATACACCAAGAACAGAGTCAGGGGGAAGTTGGTTCACTGGCGAACAGGGTCTACAGAGAAACTGAGAACAGGCTGATGCGTCTGCAAGAGTGAGTGAGTGAGTTAATATTTAACGTCACATCGGCAATATCTCAGCCATATCGTGACGAAAACAATATAAAGAGAAAACATTTTGAAGATTAAAACCTGTCGACGATGGACAGTAAAAATACTAGAGAATCACAGATATGAATAAAACTAGCGAGCAAAGCTAAAACATTTCAATTAAAGAGGACAATACAGTATAAAACACGGGCTATAGATCGCCAACAACTGAAGGTAGATCACCATACTAGGAACCTTGGGTACTAACATTACTTTTGCTACCTGCATGGACCCTAGTTGGATTTACACCATCCCTTCAGGCGCTGGTGATTGTAGGAAAATTTAACCGACAGTTAAAAGAACAAAGATACTACGTTTAAAATATGGTAAATTTACATTTTACTTTAAAAGTTTTGGGACTTACCTACCCTCTCAGCGTCTGAAAGAGAGACTGCGTGCAGCAGGGGTGACAAACATGGAGTTCCTCGATGCAGTTTGGCATTTCCTCAGACTTGGTTGAAATTCTTGCCTGTATAGTGAATGTTAAATCTTAAATCTTGAATGATTTGATTGACCATTTCAATTATCTTGTTAAATTAACTTATTTTTTTTTAATGCCAAATAAAGTCATTACAAAGTCATCCATAGATCATTTATAATTATCTTGTTGAAATAACTTATTTGGTTTTATGTCAAATAAAGTCATTGCCATTATCGACAATCTCTTCTCTTTGTGTTTGGATTAGTACATTTGGACTACTCCATTAATTAGGTAACAGTGTAGTGAACCTCAGTGCAACCAACCATAACCTTTGTTGTTTTAACGCGTCTAACTTTTGGGACGTCTAACTTTTGGGAGGACACCAATCTTTGGATTGTCCGGTTCAGAGTCGATTATTAACAGTGATATAGATGGGATTTTGCCGCGTTAAACAAACAAAACCCCATATCTTTATAAAAAAATGATAAAACGATAAAACGGATCAGAGTTATACTTATCTCTCAACATTGGTCAGTTCGTAATCTTTCAAACAGACACCACTTCATAACTTATATAAAATACATATCGAGGGCTTGTTCCTTGCAATTTAGTGTTGTTGTTTTTAGGAAAATGTAACTGACATATATTTATAAAATCATGGTGTCGGAGTTTACTCATTTGGGGAATCGAACCCCTGTCTTCTCGGAAATTTGAGTGAGTGAATGTGATTTACGCTGCCTTTAGCCGGACACCAGAAATGGGCTTCAAACACTGTACACGTGGGGAATCGTACCCGGGTCTTCGGCGTGACTAGCGAATGGGCTACCCCACCGCCCCCTGAATGTGTTAACCATTTACACAGCTCGAGTATGAAAGTACGTTGCTAAATGGAGTCCAAAGTACATTCTAGGATATTTATACAACAAAGACATATAAGATACACTTGGATTTTGATACCAAGTGGTGCATTTCGGTGTGTTATACTGGTGGAAGGACACCCGTGACTCCGAACAGCTCGGGATAAATGTACGTAAATCAAATAGATGTACATCCACATCCACATCCACAAAGCACTATATACGTCTGTTTGTAATGTACTCAAAATGTGCTTGTTTCATTCTTTGTTTGCCAGTTCTGTATCACCTCACTTCAACAATGTTCCAGCTATTTGACGATGGTCTGTAAATAATCGAGTTGAGACCAGAATATCCAGTGTATTGACACTGTACTGACCCAGTTCTAACCCATATCTTCACACAACCATAGGTCAATGTCTGTTTAACATATAACCTTTCTGATAACGTAGAACCCGACCGAATTTCTGTAATCTGTATACCTATACGAACTTACAGTACAACCAGAAATTATTGAGAATTTAAAGATTGCAATTTTTATTATTTTTTTCACTCATTACTCACGTATTAATGTGAATATTAGCAGAACATAACCCCAGATTCAAAGACAGGTGAACAGTTAGTATTTTGTCAAGTCACCATGGGCAGCAGTGCATCGGGGCATACTACTGATCAAAGAAGTTAGAAAGTCGTGGTCCATGCTGTCCCAATATTGGACCACCTCTTCTTTCATTTCAGCAATTTTTGTCAGATTTTTCTT